GCCTTCTCACAGAGCAGAAAGAAGGAACAGCTGAATCGAACAACACCCACCCAGAATTGGCAAATTAAACCCAGCTGGTGAGGCAATCTACAGATGGAAAGGTCAGATATTACCTAGAAAGGAAGGAGAGAGAGAGCTACAATACATAACCAGACACTCTGAGAGGAAAGACCATGGGGAGACAAAGACAGCCTGAATACAAAAAAGAAAGAAAGACTGAAAAAAAAGGAATCACCAGAAAAGGAAATAAACAACATGGAGGCAAGCAACCTGTCAGAGAAAGAACTTAGACAATGGTCATTAGGTCACTGAAAAGGATGAAAGGCAAATTCAACAATATGTGTAAGAACCAAGATGAAATGAAGAAGCAAGAAGAAATGAAAAATTACCATATTTTTTGGACCATAAGACGCTCCGGACCATAAGACGCACCAGTTTTTAGAGAAGGGAAATGAAGAAAAAAAGATTCTGAAACAAATAGTGTCCTAAAATATTTTATGTGCATTAAAACCCAACATCACAATCATAAACACATGTAATCAACCCTGTAAAGTAAACAGCAGCATTTAGAACCATTTTAGAGCTGGGCAAGCACACAGAGACCACACAGAGCCGGGCAAGTAAAAAAACTTTATTTTTAAAGTATATGTGTAGGCTATATTTGGACCATAAGACGCAGGGACTTTTTCCCCCCACTTCTGGGGGGAAAAAAGTGCGTCTTATGGTCCGAAAAATACGGTACATCACTGCTATAAAGAACTCAATAGAAAGCAACAACGAGAGACTAGAAGAAGCAGAGGTCCGCATCAGTGAGCTACAAGGCAAGGTAGGAAAAAATACCTAAGCAGAGCAGCATCTAGGGAGAAAAAAATAAATAAAAATAAAAAACCTTTAAAAACAGAAGAGCCTAAGGGAATTATAGGACAACAATGGAACAAAACAACATCTGCATTATAAGAGTGCCAGGAGAGGAAAGTGAGCAAGGAATAGAAAAACCTGTTTGAAGAAATAATGACAGAAAACTTCCCTGATACAGGGATGAAAAAACACACACAAGTCCAAGAAACTCAGAGTACCAAAAAAGATGAAACCCAAAAGACTAACACAAAGACATTATAATTAAATTGGCAAACATCAAAGACAAAGTAAGAATCTTAAAGGATGACAGAGAGAGATAGAAAATTACCTACAAAAGATCTCCCATAGACTACTGACTGATTTGGTAACAGAAACACGTCAGGCCAGAAGGAAATGGAATGAACTATACAAAGTCAAGCAAAGCAAGAGTCTGAATCCAAGAATACTCTATCCAGCGAGGCTGTCCTATATAATAACGAGATAATATGCAAATTGACAATCACTCCAACAAACAAGATGGCCACCTCCATGCGGTCAAAGATGGCCACAAGAAGTTGGTCAGGGGGGAAGGGCAGTTGTGGGTGACCAGGCCAGCAGGGGTGGATAGTTGTGAGGGACCAGGTGTGAAAGGGAGGGCAGTTGGGGGCCATCAGGCATGCAGGGAGGGCAGTTGGGGGGGGGACCAGGCCTTCAGGGGAGGACAGTTAGAGGCAACCAGGTCCGCAGGGGAGGGTAGGTAGGGGCAATCGGGCCAGCAGGGGAGGGCAGTTATGGACAACCAGGCTGGCAAGGGAGGGCAGTTAGGAGTGTCATGGCCAGCACAGGAGGGCAGTTGGGGGTGACCAGGCCTGTAGGTGATGGCAGTTAGTGGTGACCAGGCCAGCAGGGGAAGGAAGTTAGGGGCAATTGGGCTGGTAGTGGAGCAATTAAGCCTCAATAAGGCTGTCAGAAGAGTAGTTAGGGGGTTATCAAGCTGGCAGTCACAAGTGGTTAGAGGCAATCAGGCAGGCAGGCAGGAGAGCGATTGGGAGTTGGTAGTCCTGGATTGTGAGAGGGATGTCCCAGATTGGACAGGGTACAGGCTGAGATAAGGGACACATTCCCTACCCCAGGCACCAATTTCATTCACTGAACCTCTAGTCAATTATCAATATAATTGAGGGTGAAATCAGGAGCTTCACAGACAAAAAAGGATTAAGGGAGTTTATTACCACCAAAACAGAAATGCAAGAAATGCTAAAGGGTCTGCTGTAAAAAAGAAGAAATAGGAAGCTAAGAAGGAACACAGGGGTACAGAATAAAAATGGCGACAAACAACTACAATACTTATCAATAATAACTTTAAATGTAAATGGATTAAATGCCCCAATCAAAAGACAAAGGGTAACTGGATGAATAAAAAAACATGACCCGGATATCTGCTCTCTACAGGAAATCCACTTCAGAACAAAGGACTCACACAGAGTGATGATAAAGGGATGGAAAAAGGTTTTTCAGGCGAATGGAAATAAAAAAATAAAAAAATAAAAAGCTGGAGTAGCAATACATATACCCAACAAACTAGACCTCAAAGTAAAGGCCATAACAAGACACAAGAAAGGCCACTTCATAATACTAAAGGGAGCAATTCCACAAGAAGAAATAACTCTGGTAAATATATATGCACTCAATACAGGAGCACCCAAATACATAAAAAACTTTCTGGAGGATACCAAGGGAGAAGTTGATAGTAATGCAGTCATAGGAGACTTTAGTACCTGACCAACACCACTGAACAAATCCTCTAAACAAAAAATCAGTGAAAAAAACATCAATCCTAAATGACTCACTAGATCAGATGGAATTAACTGACATCTTCAGAACATTAAATACCAAAGCTACAAAATATACATTCTTCTCAGGTGAACATGGGTCATTTTCAAAGATAGACCATATATTGGGACACAGGCAAAGTCTCTTCAAATTCAAGAAGATAGAAATCATATCAAGCATCTTCTTAGATCATAATGGCATAAAACTAGAAATCAACTACAATAAAAACAATTTTTAAAAAATCAAACATCTGGAGGCTAAATCACATGCTATTAAACAATTACTGGGTTACCAAAGAGGTCAAAGAATAAAAAACATTCTGAAAACAAATGACAATAAAAGCACAACAATCCAAAATCTATGAGACACAGCAAAAGCATAGCTCTACAGGCCTACCTCAAAAAAGAGACAATGGTAATAAATTATTTAACCCTACAACTCAAAGAGTTAGAGAGCAACAAAAAAAAGCCCAGCTTAAGCAGAAGGAAGGAAATAATAAGGATCAGAGAGGAGATAAATGACACAGTGACCAGTAAATAAATAAATAAATACAAAAGATCAACAAAAACCAAGAGCTGGTTCTTTGAAAGGATAAACTAGTTTAATGAATTTCTAGCCAGGTTCACCAAGAATCAAAAAGAGAGGACCCAAATACACAAAATCAGAAATGAAGAGGTGAAGTAACAACCAATCCCACAAAAATACAAACATTATGGAAAAAAACTATGAACAATTCTATTCAACAAAATGGATAACCTAGAGGTAATGGAGATAGTCTTAGAAAAATACAAACTCCCAAAACCCAATCAAGAAGAATAAAAAGACCTGAATAGGCCAATAACTACCAAAGAAATTGAAGCAGTGATCAAAAAATCTTCCAGCCAACAAAAGCCACTTTAGCATATGAATGGCCTGTCCTTTTGCAACCTAAAAATGTACAAACTGCAGCTGGGTCAGAGAGCTCCAAAATTTCCAAAAGAAGACTTAAAGTCCTATAGCAGCTGGACTTCATCTTGGCACCTCCAAATCCCAAACTAAGAGGAGGAATCTGCAGATCTCTCTGTAGCTTTTGCTGGGTGTCCTCAGGCTGTGGCTGATACTGCATCTCCTTGGAGATCCAAGATCCAGTATACACAGTGGTTAGAATGAGGCCATACCAGATTACAACTCTTCACATCCATAAGAGACACACTAAAGGGGCAGACTCAGTGAGCACCAAAGTCTCACTGTAGCAAGTCCGGCTTCATAAGGGTGTCTCCAGCACAGCAGTCCCCCACTGTAGACATAGCTGGTCCTCACAGCCAATTGGCCTGAAGGTCAATTCCTCCCAGTGATACAAACAGCAATCAAGGTTTAACTACAACAAGATTGTGCACACAGCCTACAAAGGGGTACATCAAGAGTGTCAACCTCAGGTAATTGGGGAGGCTGAAACACTGGAACACCTAGCACACAGCTGTCATGAACATCCCCGATGGTGTCACTGACCTGGCATCACACATCAAGAACATTCACTGAGTGGTGTTGGGGTACAAAGCTCTCCACCAGGTTCCTCCAGGACAAACCTTGGGTAAACACCGCTTTACCCAAGACATTACCCTGAAATATCAGCTCAGACTAATTTCCTCATTGAGTAGCCACTCAGATGGCAGGTCCACAGCCACTGGGCTGACTGGGATAAGCGGTGCTCCTGCAGCAAGCTGATCCCCTTAGTCCACACCCCCCACTTGTGCACTGGGCCTCTAGTGATTACACATTACAAAGAAAAAAAGTAGTCATTTTATAGTGAAAAAATGATTCAAATTAACATCACCAGTAAGGGGACAATCACATAGCTCTTCATATGATACACCAAGGACATGTGGCTTTGATTTTGGTGGGGTTTTTTTTGCTAAAAAATGTATAACTTGAATTGAATTAAATGTATTAATTAGATTGTAAGACACACTCAACCTGGGGGATAATCTATAATACAAAATAACTGGCCAACACTCTACAAAAGTGTTAATGTTCAAGATTAAAGGAGACTAAATAAAGACAATGTGTGATTCTAGGTTGGATCTTGGATCAGAAAAAAGATATCTGTGGATAATTGGTAAAATCTGAAGTCTATAGCCTTGAGCCTTGATAACAATAATGTTCATTTGATTTCATAACTATATTGTTAACTTGGTTGCTTTAATTATTGTAATATTGTTATGTAAGATGTTAATATTTGGAGATCTTCGTGAAGATTATATGGGAATTATTTGTGCCACATTTATAACGTTTTGTTAGGTCTGAAATTATTTTAAAATGAAAAATTTAAAATATATATACATATATATAACCTAATACTTTGAAGTTCTCTTCTTGCCGACTCTTCTGCCATCTGTGAAGCCCGCAATTTCTCATCACACTGATCTTTTTCAGACTGCCTCCAGACATCATATTCCACTTTCATTTTCTCTAAATCCACTAATCTGTTCTCAAGTTCAAGCCTAAAACAACAGATAATTATGTTACAAGAACTATAATAAGAATAATATGACAGCAAAATGTGTTCATTTGCAAGATTTAACGCAAAAAAAAAAAAAGGTAATTATGTACTTACTTTTCATCTTGTAATACCACAAGTTTTTGATAACCTTCTTCCTTGGCAGCTTGTACTTTACGTATTAGTTCACGATCCTTTTCTGCTAAGAGCACTTTGTGGTGTTCAACAGCCGACTTGAGAATTTCATTATCTGACTGTAATCCTAGTATTTTTAAGGAGAAAAATATGCTATACTCAATCTTATTAAAATGAAAAATCACATTTAATAGCAAACATTGATAACAATTAGAAGAGTATATAGAAAGCAAGTGACTCTTGAAAGATCGTTACATTGATAAACTTTCTTAAGAATGAAACAAACTAAAACTCAAAGTTAATTTTTCAGTCATTAGTTTATTTAGCATACGCACATAAAAGGTTAATAAAACATTATATACATTTATTCATTTGAATCTTTAAAGCGAGGGATATCAACTTGGCTGATAGCCAAAGAGGTTTAAGTACCTACTACTTCACCCCTACAAAGGTTCTGTAACCTAAGACTCACAAAGTACATCATCATCAAGCTAGCAGGAAGCAGCCTGAATAAAATCACAGAACTCTTCAAAATCTATCATTCTAGCAGAGTTGTTAGATTTATAGTAGAATTATAAATTGGAAAGCTTCAATTTTGTCAAATGAATTTACAAATCTCCCTTGTAATGAGATGACAAGTATTTTGCAGATAAAATAACTAAAATTTGTTTGTAACTCAAAGTAAAAAAAAAGAATGCAAAACTGAATCCCAAACTCTAAGTTCCTAAGAAAATTTACTCCCTAACTATGTAAATTCATGTGTCAATATCAAGTAGAAATTAATAATGAAGACAATCATTCATTGTAAGTTCTATCTAAAACTACAGAGGCCAGTTCAACTGAAGACCAACTCAAGGATAGTTACAGGCCAAAGGCAGCTTATTTAAGTACTTAAGAAGAGTCAGAAATCATATAATTTCTGAGGAATCCTGATGAGAAAAACATTCTAAATAGTAAACTGGAGCTTAAAAATAAGTTTAGGCTGAATGAGGCTCAATCACTACTAGGGTCTACATAAAAATATTTTTAAAGGTAAAAGTTGGACCTGCAACTAATAAACACATGATAACCTAAACAGATTTAAAATTATAAACTCAGGAAGTTTAAAATTCACATTGCAAAATTTCACTTATGTATTAATCAAGTAATAATAACATAAACATTATTTTTAAAAGTTAGATCACAAAATGAACATTCAACAAAAATAATCCATATATGCTCTAACATTAAAAGTCAATTAAGCTGAAAATCTGAAAATAAAAATTCTGTGTGACCTAATTTAATAATTTTAGTTTAGATGTGAAAATAAAAAGAATGGAAAATTATATATTACCATCCAATTCACTTTGAATCTTATTTCTTTCTCTTTCTAAATCACTCTTAGCTCTTGCTGCTTCCAGTTTGATGTCTGTTATTTCTAGTTTGTTTGAATGTTTAATTTCCTTTACCTGTTGATAATTAGAAATTAAAATTACTATGGTCATTTTCTTGCCATTAACTGCTTACCCTGACACTTTAGCAGGAATGAGAAAATGCTGTGGTAAGCACCTTCAACAGGGAAATTGTTTCAGTGCCTGGAAAAATACTTATCAACAAGAAAACGGTTTTATCTTAATAAAAGTGAATCCTTTTTAAAAGAATGTTGGTGACAAGAAGGTGTTCAAGATATAAGGATCAGCATATAAAAGGTTACATAGGTATAAGATCACATTGCTTGCTTGAAAAACAAGCAAATGTGTTATTATTTTTTAATATATTTTATTGATTTTTTACAGAGAGAAATAGAGAGTTAGAAACATCAATGAGAGAATCATTGATCAGCTGCCTCTTGCACACCCCCTACTGGGGATGTGCCCGCAACCAAGGTACATGCCCTGGACAGGAATCGAACATGGGACCTTTCAGTCCACAGGCAGACGCTCTATCCACTGAGCCAAACCAGTTTCGGCCAAGCAAAAGTGTTATAGCTAGAGTGGCAGGGAATAAACTTTATACACCATAAAAAGAGTTGTGTATTCTTTTAGCTATTAAAGGTGTACAATTAACTTTGTTTCAGAAAATTAACTCTAATTGCAAATGTATTAGATTAAGATAGTGAAGATAAAGAAACTAATGAAGAGACAACGAATTAATAGGGAGTAAGGGTGCAAGAACGATCAATTGAATTTGGTGACTAAGTAATGTATGTGTATGTGTGACTGTGGTGGTAGTGGGACGAACAAGTATAAAACTTAGAAATCTAAACCTTTATTGTTAAAATATGATTCTTTTAAAGCCACAGTGAGTATAAATAATTATCAATGTTTTCCATTAATTAACCTATATAGCAATCATATACCAATTTTCATCTTTCCTGAGACATCCCTTTTGTCAAGTTGAATAATTCTAGTTTATAAATAGTATTCTTTCATTCTTTTAATAAATATTTACTGAGCATTTATTACATGTTAGGCACTGTTTTGAGAACTGAAGATAGAGCAGCAATCAAGAAAGCTTTTTCTCTTCAATCACCTGCACCACCTAACATTTTCCACATCCCTTCCCTTTGATAAGGTGCTTCTAAAATTAGAAGGATGGAATCAATACAGATACAAAGGTTAGATAAACTTGCATTCAGACATATTATACTCAAATATAAAACTAATATAAAATCAGAGTAGAAAACCATGAATATATACAAGTGAAACACATAAAATGTGAGATGATGGGAACAGGAGGGTAAAGGATGATTTATTTAAGTGTAATATAATCTAAAAAACAGGAGTTGGCAGTTAGAAAGAAATAAAGAAAAGGTCCTAGACAAGTATCACATGATCCCACTTACATGTGAAATCTTATGAACAAAATAAACTGACAAACAAAATAGATCCAGAGTTCCAGAAACATGGAAGCATGCAACAGACTGAGGATCCTCAGAGGGAAAGGGGCAGAAGAGAGAGATCAATCAAAGAATTTATATGCATATATTAATAACCCAGGAACACAGACAATAGTGGAAGGTAAAGGCCTAGGGATGCGATGGGTGTGGAGAGGAGAAGGGTTTCTAAGGGGGAACGGGTGGAGAGAAAATATGTAATATTTTGAACAATAAAGATTTTTTTTTTTTTAAATGGGAAGAGGTCCTAGAGCCAAAGAGGGCAAGGATGAGAAATAGAGGTGTCTATGAAAGGTCTTGAAAACAATGTAAAGAAATGGTTTGTTGTAAAATCCCCACTTAAAGGAAATAAATAGAAAAGCTATACTGCCTCTGTACTGCTAATCACATTAAGATGTATTCCTCTCGAAATTAACTAGATTTTTTAATGATACTACCTAAAATAAATGCCTTGTGCTGACATCAGTTTTTGCATTTTTAAGTCTTTTTAAACTTTTTTTATGAAGTCTCATTGAACAATGTTTAAGTGCATGACGGCAGCTAAGAAATTATATTTATTTAAATACTGAAACTTTCTATAGACTGGATTTTACTACATTATAATTTCATGGACAAACAGAATTTAAACTATAAGTGCTTTAAATTTTGGACCACAGTAAAAATCCATTCTGACAAATATAATTGTAAGCTAACTATAAAAGGTTAAGAATGACAGCAGCTCATTAACAAACTACACTGCAGCTGACACAAATATGAAATGAAAAAATAAAGCCATCTTATATTATAGAATCTTAATTAATTTCAACAAAAACTATGAAATAAAATACTTAATTCATTTCACCCTGAGATTTACTGAAATGAGAAAAAAAAATTCAAATAAATTATTATTGAAACTGAAAGGGCACTGGACAAGAAGTCAAACAAGTGAAGTCTGTCTTCAGTCTACTTTTTTTTTTATTAAACTAGTGGTGCATGCTCAAGCAAGGTACTTGTCCTCTGCATTCAAATTCATTTATCTATGTAACTAGATGAGTTTAAGTTTATCTTTAGTGCTGCATTTGTATACTGGTAATCCTAAAATAATGAATATTATTAGTATAATGTTTATACTAATATTAACTTCCTGGAATGTATTTTTAAATGTTTTATTTAATAAAAATGAAAAATGTATTTAAGTATTTATTGCCTAGATATGACAGTTGCTCTTTCTCTGAATAATCTGAACCAAATCCCAAAGAGTCATAACAACATTCCTTTCTTCTTCTAGATTCCTGGTGCTTAAACTTTGTGATCAGGCCTCAAAAATCCTAAGAAAACAAGGGATCTTTAACAAAATGTACAATATTAAAATGCTGCTTATAATTTCAAGAGATTCAGTTTTCTGAGAGATCCAAGATGGCTGCGCCCAGGTGAACACCTAGCCGCAGCCGCACACAACAATTTCAATAAAATACAACTAAAATATAAAACGGACATTGCCCAGAACTACAGGAAGGTTGACTGACTGGAAATTCTACAGCGAGAAGCAAGGAGAAAACCAGAAGGAGGTGCGGAGGAGCTGGAAAAGCCCAAGGTACGGAGACGCAGCACGCGGAGAGGACGGAGCCTGAGAGGAGGGAGGCCGAGTGCCTGGCGGGCGTTCCCTAGCGGAAAGGAGATAAAACTCCGACTGTGCTGGGCCCCCGACTGCTCTGATCCCCAGTTTTAAGCTAGACCCCAGGGACTCAGGCTCAGCCACAGGGAGCCGGGCTGTAAGGCGGAACCCGGGGAGCAGTGAAAGGAGGTCCAGGCGGCGCGCACACTGCGCGCAGATAAGGGACAGTCGGCTGTGCCGCGGGATTGCCCTGACGGGAAGGAGACTGGGGCTCCAGACTGCTCCAAACGCCACCTCCAACTCCACTTCCAACTGAACTGAACCCCAATACCGGGCTCATTGTGGGAGAGCATAGACTGTTTGGCAGCAGGCGAAAATCAAGGGCACCTATCTCTCAGAGGCGCCGGCAGCGAGCACTGATGGACCCACATAGGGCGGGGCTGACGGAAGCCAAAGCTGCAGGCTCCACCCTGAAACCCCACCCCATCTGTAACTGCGAAATGCGACAACAAAATAGATCACAAACGAAAGAAATGGAGGACAAAAAGCGTCTGGATATAGAGTTCAAATCTACGCTTATAAGGTTTTTCAAGAATTTCCTAGAAAAGATGGATAAGGCCTATGAGGATATGGAAAGAGATCAACTAGAATTAATAAGGAGTCATCGAGAAATGATAAGGGATCAACAAGAAATAAAGAATACATTGTCTGAAATAAAAAATATTTTACAGAGTCCTAAAAACAGAAGGGAAGATCACAAGAATCAAGTCAAAGATTTGGAACATAAAGAGCCAGAAGATACTCCTCCACAGAAGCTAGAAGGCAAGAGAATCCAGAAAATTGAAGATAATGTAAGAAACCTCTGGGACAACTTCAAGCGAACCAACATCAGAATTATGGGGGTCCCAGAAGATGAGAGAGAGCAAGATATCGAAAACATACTGAAAGAAATCGTGACAGAAAACTTCTCCCACCTGGTGAAAGAATTAGACTTACAAGTCCAGGAAGCACATAGAACCCCAAACAAAAGGAATCCAAAGAGGACCACACCAAGACACATCATTATTAAAATTCCAAGAGCAAAAGACAAAGAGAGAATATTAAAAGAAGCAAGAGCAAAGAAGGTAGTAATCTATAAAGGAGCACCTATACGATTGTCAGCTGACTTCTCAACAGAAACCATGCAGGCCAGAAGGGAATGGCAAGAAATATTCAAGGTGATGAATAGCAAGAACCTACAGCCAAAAATAATCTACCCAGCAAAGCTATCACTCAGAATCGAAGGTCAGATAAAGAGCTTCACTAATAAAAAAAAAAGCTAAAGGAGTTCATCACCGCCAAACCAGAATTATATGAATTGCTGAAGCGGGTTCTTTCAGAAGAGAAATTAAACAAAGATAAAAATTATGAACAACAAATACGTAACTATCAACAAGTGAATCTAAAAACCAAGGAAAGTAAAAAAAAAAAATCTGATGAACAATATTAACTGTTGAATATAATAGAATCAGAGGTATGGAAGGGGAGTGGACTGACGATTCTCAGGGAAAAGGGGAGAGAGGGGCGTGGGAAGAGACTGAACATAAACTGTGCACCTATGGATGAGGACAATGGGGAGAGGGGAAAGGGCAGAGGGTGGCGTGGGAACCTGGTGGAGGAGAGCAATGGTGGGGGGGGGGGGGGGGAGGAACATTTGTAATAATATGAACAATAAAAACTTATAAAAAAAAAAAAAAAAGAGAGAGATTCAGTTTTCTAAAGCTGCCTGGGCCAAAATACTCTGTTTTTTATTTTTCTAGTTTTTTCCCCCATGACATTTTCCATGTAGATTATGGCTCACTGTAAATTTATGCTTTTGACACAACAGAATGTTGAGTGTCCAGAGATTACTACCTGGGACTACTAACAAAACTTTAAGAAACACCCAGCCATTGTGGCTCAGTGGTTGAGTGTCAACCCATACACCTAGAGTTCACTGGTTCAATTCCCAGTCAGGGCACACGCCTGGATTGCAGGCTCAATCTCTGGCCAGAGGAGTGGCGGGTAGGATACAGGAGGCAGCCTTTGAATGGTGATGTTTCTCTCTCATTGATGTTTCTATTTCTCGCTCCTTTCCTCTTTCTCTAAAATTCAGTAAAAACTTACGTAAAAAAAACAAACAAAATCTTTAAGAAACTGAAAAATGGCAATAATGGACATTTTGAAAGGTTTTAGAATCTGCTAAGTTATACATCCGCACAGAGACATGCTAGAAAACAAAATATAGAAGCAAGAAATAGAAATATAGTTGAAAATGTATTACTTGAGAACCTCTTGACACAAATTCCAAAGAGATAGTATTCTTAAATTCTTATTTTTTTCAAAGGTCTCAGGTAGTATGATCTCACTAACTTGACTAATAAGGGTAACTCTGTGGGAAACTTCTTTAAAGCTGTCTGATTTATGAGTTCTAAAGATCAAACACTTAGTGAGGTAACTAGAAGAATTTACCTCATAGAATGTGAAATACCTTTAAGAGCATCATTCTCAGACTATGTTCAGTAATATTTTTATTGAATTTTTTTTTTTTAGAGAGAGAGAGGGAGGGAGAGGGAGAGAAACATCGATTTGCTACATCCTGCCTACCCCCTATTGAATATTAAGCAAGCATTCCGGGGATGTGCCCTGACCTGGGACCTCCAGGTCATTCAACTGAGCCAGGGCTTTAGTAATATTATTTAAATAAAGAGATAGACACACTAACATAACTCCATTAAAAAAGCTAGCACATATTTGAATACACCACAGGTGTTCCTTTGCATTGTAAAATATTGTACAATTTAGACCATTTACTAGAATTGAAAAATAATGTCAATGAAAACTTCAAGTTGCCAAGAAAACTGACAATCATGTTTGAAATATTATTTTAAAATTTACTCTTCCAATGCAATCTTTTCACGCACAATATTTCAAATGAAAACTTGGCTTGTCTAAAGTTAAAGGGTGATTTTAATATGCCATTTGTATACAAAATAGACAGGCAATGCTTAGCATTGTGTATTAACATGCAGAGAAATAATACACTAAAATGCTCTTCTTCCATAGGCAGAATAGGAGAAATCATCTAAGCAATAACTCTAAAAAGAGCAATAAGAAGACTACATACAGAAAAAGAAGAAAAATCAGGGTCAGAACACAAATAAGCCAGAGAAGTCACATAAATATGCTGCAAGGAAAGTATCTGGTGGTTCCCAAGAGATAGAAGCCACAGCAAAAGCCAGCTTATCCAGTGTCCTAATGCTCCACCTATGGTTCAGGTTATTCCAGCAGTTCAGTTTGTCTACTCAGGGCCACAATAGTGTTTTGAAAATACTGAGTACTCACTATTTCTTTTTATAAAATTGAAAATAATTTATATCATGAGAAAACTCCCTGTATCCTGAATTTGTGTTTTGCATCCACTTCTTTGCATATTTTATTATTGAAGGCACTCAATATGTATCTACTGATTACAGAAATAATTAGCTTACAGTTAACCAGGAAGCAATCAAGTTATTTATTTTCTAGTAGGACTTACAGAACCTTAGTAGGCTGACAGGATTCTTACAGATCAGCTAGAACAATGCCTCATTTCATCTATGAGGAAAATGGATCCCAATGATATTAAGTAACTTGCCTAAAGTCATACACACAATTATTGATACAGGGAAGAATGAAATCAGTCAATGGTCTCAAAGTTATGTACATTATTTTCTCATTTAAGGATATCACAAAGTATGTAATTGTTTCCATGATCATTTTTTATCTCCAGCTATTATTTATTATGTTCAATAGCCCCTTTAATATTACAAAAACCCTGTAAGAGACAGGTATCATCCCCACTTAAAAGTTAAGCAAGCCAGAAAACACATAGGTGGTGAGTGAGATAAATGAGTCAGGACTCAAAAGTAAATTCATCTGATTCAAAGTCCACGAACTTTTCCATTGCACTTCATTGCCACCTTCAAAATGACAGTTATTAATTTCTAAATATATCTGAATCTTAATCTATAAACTGAATTATAGGACTATGCTTGAATTAAGACATTTTAACAATAAAAAACTCATTGCTCAAATAGAGTAAAATAAATCGTTTCATGGCCATAAATTAAGACAAATTTGTGTATTCCTTCCCATAGTAAGAACAATCTTTTCAATGGGATCAGAGTACTTACATGCTTCTAACTAAAACTCTCTGCTTCAGTCTTCTCAAGTAATTACTTGGCCACGGAATTTATGATGAATATAATATTCCTTTAGGTAACTTCATATATTCCTACCAAGCTATAGTAAATCCCTTCTGGTCTGGGAGCCATATTGTTTTTTAAGATAATTTTATACATAACTCTGCTATAATAGAAAATTCATATTACTTCACTGATTTAGTAACCAGTCTTATTTCCAAGTTCTTAGAAATGCCAGATGTACTACTACTACTGCTAGCTAATATTATAACAACAACAGCTAATATTTGGGTGATTATATACTAAAATCTTATGCCAAATGCTTTATATATAATATCTTATTTAATCTTTGTCACACTCTATAAAGTAAATATTTGTCTCATTTTATAAAGGAAAACAAACTTTTCAGAGAGAATATAAATTGCTAAAGGTCACAGAGCTAAAAAGTGGAAGAAATGAAACTTGAAGCCAGTCTGTCTGCCCCCAGAGCTGATATTCTCATTCACTACTGTAGTTTATATGATACTTATGCATTGCTATTCTATTTCTGGTTTCTGGATTCCTTACATATGTATCCTGCATTTGAGGAGTGGTAGAGGACCTATAAGTGATTGAGAAAATTCTGTATATAAAGTGTTCAAACCATTACATTATTTTTAAATATATGTATTTATTTATTAATTTTAGAGAGGAAGAGAGAGGGAGAGTGACAGAAACAACAGTGATGAGAGAGAATCATTGATTGGTTGCCTCCTGCATGGCTTCCACTAGGGAATCAAGCCTGCAACTTGTGCCCTTACCATTATATTCTTTTTAAATAACATAAATGCAGGTGTTACTGCTAATATTAATTTACTCATTTAACATTTATTGAATGCCTACTGTGTGCCAGCACTATTCTAGGAACTGGAGAGATAGCTGTGATAAAAGCAATGTCTCAACTCTGGAGCTTATATTTGGTTGGGGTAAGGGTGCGGGAAAGAAAGGGGGAGGAAAAAAAAATAAATGTATTAGATAGTATTAAGAACTATGGAGAAAAATAAAGCAAATAAGGGAGATTGAGAGGGCAGAGGAAGATGGAAGACGGTATTGTACAAGGTGAAGCCAAGGAAAGTGGCTCTGATAAGACATCTGAAAGAGATGCAGAAACAAGCTAAATAGATATGTGAGGGAAGACCAGGAAGTAAGGGAGAAGAAGTAACCTTGCTCAAAGAGTGAGAAGGCCAGTGGGTTGTATTCACAGTGGAGGTAATAAGAATTGGTCAGATTCTGCATATATCTGGAAAGTAGAATGCTAGCATAAAAAAATATCTCAATATAGAGAACTAAGCTATTTAAACATAAACTTTATTTGTCATTATACAGTATTGAACATTCTAAAGAATGAAGTGGAAACATAAGATGACTTACTTTACTGGTCAATGCATTTATTTCCCGTTCAGCTTTATGTAATTTACTGATTAAAACAGTATTTTGTTCATTGCTTGATTGTAGCTCTTTTTCCAAGCGTTCAGCATGTAGTTTAACTGACTGTTTTTCAGCCTTTTATTAAAACAAAGTATTTTAAATTTGTTAATAATTTTTCACAACTATATCAAAATAAAGTAAGCCTTATTTAAAATATATGTGTAATCCCACTACACAAAATTAATCAAAATCTCAATATTAATATATACCAAAGGAAAAAGATTTTTCTCAAAGTATATAATAGAATTCAAATGAAAGAAGTTTACTCCAAGAAATATGCAACAAAGACATCTGGAACAAACATATGTCAAGAGTCACCAATGAAATAAAACTCATATATTTATCTGATGAATGCACTCACTTGATACCTACTAACTCTTATTGCTGACATAATTGGAACAAAAATTTTGGGGGGTTCCAAATCCATAGTAGATATGAAAAAGCATATTAGAAATAGAAGAGAAGGCTCATTTATAACAGTAAGAAGTGAGAACTGAAAATCTAAAGTCAATGGAGTTTTTTTAAAGAGAGATATAAGAATTCAAAATCTTTAACTAATTTCTAGCTTTTGGAAGTATGGGCAAGAGCTGAATAGCTCTTGACCTCATGACATAATAAAGATTCGTAATGAAGTCTGAAGTTGTCTAAAAAAAAATTCTGATTGGTAATACAGTACTTTTTAGTTAGGGAGGGAAAACTAAATGCTTTCTTAAAATAGTTCTACTCAAAATACTTAAAATAAAAATGTTTGGGGAGAAACCAAGATGGCGGCATAGGTAAACACCTAAACTGCAGCCTCGCACAACAATTTCAAAAATACAATTAAAAGACAAAACGGACATCATCTAGAACCACAGGAAAGCTGACTGACTGGAAATTCTATAACTAGAAGAAAAGAGAAGACCACAAGGAAAATCAGAGGAGCTATAAAAGCCTGAGGTATGGAGACACGGGCACTCGAGTGCACTTATGAGGAGGATGGAGCCAAAGAGGACGGGGCTGCTGAGTGCTTGGATGGTGTTCTCTATCAGGAAGGAGATAACAGCTCTGGACTGCTCTGAACCTTAGTTCCTACTGCACTGAACCCCAGTTGTGGGCGAGACCCTGGGGACCCAGGCTCATACAGGGAGAATCTGGGCTGTAAAGCGGAAACTCAGGGGAGCAGGAAAAGGCAGAACTCTGGAGGCCCACACGTGAATGCGCACAGAGGACGGCCTGTTGACTGTGCCACTGGATTTCCCTAATGGGAAGGAGACAAAAGCTCCAGACTGTGCTGAACCCCAGTTCCGGGTGAGAATCTGGGAATCCAGATTCACTAGGGGAGAGACAAGACTGTCTGGCAGCGAACAAAACTCGAGGGCGTCTTTCTCTTAAAGGTGCTTGCAGTAATAGGGCAGGGCTAATAGGAAGCCAAAGATGTAGGCTCCACCCTGAAACTCCACCCCATCCAAGCTGAGCACAGAGGTTTTTGCAATTTTGAAAGTCTAGTCAAATAAGGCTATCTCCCGGCATAAACACAGCTGATCCTCACAACCAATTGGCCTGGAGGTCAACTCCTCCCACTGATACCAACAACAATCAAGACTTAACTACAACAAGGCTGTACACACAGTCCATAAAGAGGTGCACTAAGAGTGTCCACCTTAGGTAACTGGGGAAGCCGAGCCACTGGCCCATATAGGACACCTCGCACAAAAAACTCCTCTACAAACTCAGGGAAGCAGTGAAAATGCGGAGACAAAAAAATAGATCACAAACGAAAGAAATGGAGGAAAACAAACAACTGGAGATAGAGTTCAAAAAGGAATCCAAAGAGGACCACACCAAGACACATCATAATTAAAATGCCAAGAGAAAAAGACAGAGAATATTAAAAGCAGCAAGAGTAAAACAGTTAATTACCTACAAGGGAGTACCCATATGACTGTCAGCTGATTTCTCAACAGAAACTATGCAGGCCAGAAGGGAGTGGCAAGAAATAGTCAAAATGATGATTAGCAAGAACCTACAACCAAGAGTAAGTACTCTACCCAGCCATGCTGACTTTCAGAATTGAAGGTCAGCTAAAGAGCTTCACAGATTAAAAAAAAAAAAAAAGCTTAAAGGAGTTCATTACCACTAAACCAGTATTATATGAAATGCTGAAAGGTATTCTTTAAGAAGAGAAAGAAGAAGAAAAGGGTAAATATAAAAATTATGAACAACAAATACGTATCTATCAACAAGTGAATCTAAAAATCAAGTGAATAAAAAATCTGAGGAACAGAATAAACTGGTGAATATAATAAAATGAGAGGCATTGAAAGAGAGTGGAATGACAAATCTCAGGGAGAAAGGGTTGGGGGGGGGGGGGGTCCAGGAAGAAACTGGACAAAAATTGTACATCTATGGATGAGGACAGTTGGGGGTGGAGGGGGGGGGTGGTAAGGGAAGAGGGTGGGATGGGAACCAGGTGGAGGGGAATTATGGGGAGGGAAAAAGAGGAACAACTGTAATGATCTGAACAATAAAGATTTATTTTTTTTAAATGTTTGGCATTTAAAGGATAAGCTTCAGTTTTTATCTCATTTCTTATCTTAAATATAATATAAAGAGTGTATTCAAATAATTCAGGGGGGAAAAAAAAAACACACCTACATTCCTCAAACATAAAAATAATACTTTTTGGGCTCACTGATAGCCAAAAATGTCAGAGAAAGAAATGCTTGCTTTTATGTACTTATTTTCATTTCACTTGACAAATTTAAATATAGGTTCTTTTGAAGATGTCATAAATGAACTTCCTATCTTTTTGTCATCATTTAACTTTTCTTGAAAACAATCACTCTAAATGACCTCAATGAAAAGTTTCACACTGGAACCATATGCCATATTTAATTATAATCATCCACTTACTTGTCATTGTATAAATACGTTAGAGGGATGAAAGGATGGAACATAAAACATAAGCAGTCTAATTCTGAATTGTCTCACACCTAAAGACCAACAATACTGACAACTTTAGTTCAGGACCAGTAAATACTATAAAAAGCTTCATACACACACACACACACACACACACACACACACACACACACAAAACATGACTTCTCTTCTAAACATATCAATTCTCTCCTTGTACCAGTTTGCTGGATAGAGGGGGGAAAAATCACTTTAGATTTGGATCCTGGATTTTAATTACAAGCTAAGTGCCATTAATTTCTTTCCAATTCAAATCATTTCACAACTATCTGAATAAAAGAACACCACACTTTGGACTGCTCAAAATAAATCAAAACAATTAAAATATTTGCTACATGTTAGGTACTAATAATTAGGAGGGGTAAGCATATCTGAGAAGATGATGAAGGGGTCCAGAATATCTTGCCACTGTGGCATAAAAGTTATTTTAAGCTGAAAACATTTGGGAATCAACAGACATTTTTTTAAGAAAGTTTTTTCCCCCTCAACTCCTCTTATCTGTCTAAAAATAGAGCCTTGGAAACGAATGTAACTGTTATGAATTCCTGCCCCAGGAGTTTCATAACTATGGAAGACACTCCTATCATGAGAAACAAAATCAGCATCAGGATACAAAATCCTCTACACAAGACATTTTTACAAAACTATCATATCTCCCATCTACTTCCCTAAGGGCCCTTTTATCTTTCCCAAGTGCCCTTTCTTTCCTTCTCCCTACTTCAGATGGTATATAAGCCCCAAATTCTAACTGCCTCTTTGACACTTTTCTGTGAATCCATGATGGCATATAAGCCCCAAATTCTAACCGCCTCTTTAACATTTTTCTGTGAATCCCATGTACATACATGAATAAAAGCCTATCTTTTCTCTTATTAATGTCTGCTGCCAGTTTAATTCACAACCCCCAATCACTGAACCTAAGAGAATGAAGAAAAAGTTCTTCTTTTCCAACAACTGAAACCAAGAATTTTTGCAGGAGAGTCCTCTAGGAGTATCAGCCTAGGGTCTGCCAGCTCTTACTTCTCTCTAATGAACTCAGGAAAACAATTCAGTAAAGCCTTATGCATTAGTAGCCAAGTCAAATTTTATTACTCTGGTAAGCTCCCATAGATTGTATAAGTATGGTATTTCTGTTTGAACAGGATTTATGATTTTAAGACTTTATAAATTCCAGTGTAAGGAAATAACCATCTAGGAAAAAATAGTTCCTTCTGGTTTGAGATCACTTTAGTCTCCAGAAACTCAAATAAATTTTTTTGGATTTTGCATATTTTATTCTCTGGTCTTACAAGAGTTAAATAATTTAAGACAGGTGACTTGACTCCCAAAGAAGAAATACTCCCTTTATATATGTGGCAGCATATCCAATGCTTATGAATCAATAGCTTTCATCTTTACAAAAAGTATAAACTCTCGTGATTCCACAAATGCATCAGCATTATTAAATTGGTGAGCATATGCTGATCCTCTAAAAATCAGAAGATTGTCAATGCATTTTTTAAAAGTGTGCCATACTTTTTTTTTCTAGTGGGAAGCAATTAAAACCTTACCTCCAGGGATCTGATTGTAGCCTGCATCTCAGCCAACTGCTGCACCTGAATTCTTTGGACATTTTCTACCTGAGCACCAGAATTCTCTTTCTCAGCCCTTAATTCGGCTACTTCAGCCTGTAACTCTTTTAATTTCTGAACCAAATGGACTTTTTCTCGAGTAAGTTGCTCCACTCGTTTGCTATCTCTTGTGGAATCAAGATTAAGCAGCTGATTATGTAGTTCTTCTTTATCTTTCTCCAGTCTTGCAATCTAATAACAATTTGAAAAAAAGGACACAACTTTAAATTATTAAATTTTCAGTCATGAACATGCATTACAAGTCAGTAAATTAAAATTTGTAACTGCACAATGTAAAAAAGAAAGCTTAGGTAATGAAATGAAGTAGCAAGGAAAAAACTCTAAAATGTCACCTTCTTCATTCTGATTCAGCATGGCTCAAATGAGAGGGCAAGTACCTTGTCTATACTCCTCATGGTGTTTAGCACAGGCTTCATCAGTTGCCAAATAAAACTCAAAATTATAAATAATACTATAAAATAATTAAAATGTCAAATATTTAAAAAATTAATCAGAACATTGCAGGGGCCTATGCAAGATCAATATGCTGATTGCTGCTAAGCTTTTCCTCATGTGACAGTAATACTTGGGCTTTCTATACTAATAAGGCAACTTAATTCACACAAAAAGCTGCTTGTCTATATAAACAACTACAAATGTGAGCGATTAAAGTTTTTAAATGATAGCTGAGAGTTTATTAAAGCCCTAATTATAATGACGGTATAGTTCCTAATTCTCAGATTCAAGAAAGAATTGAAAGTCATTACCCAACAGCACTTAGAAAGGTCACTGGGGAACCTGTAGAGCAGAAACACTACTGCTCTCCTCATTCATGCCAAGCATCACTTCCAGACCCCTACCCCTATCCCCACTCCCTCCCCTGGGCCTCCCAATTAGTGGGTTTCAAACTGCTTGTAACCTTTGAGGTACATTGGAGGCCTCTCTCCTCTAGGAATGAGGAAGAGGTCAAGTAATCATGGTAAAATGCACTTTCCTTTTCCTAATATCCCAAACTATCTGTCCCTCCCACCACCACCACCAAACCTTTGTATAGTTAACCAGACCTCCTCTTTTTAGTCTCCTTTCATATAGATTTCTTCAGGTGATACAACTGTTTTATTTTGTTTTGTTTTAAAAGTTAGAAATCACTGCTCTAAATGTCACCAGGAACTGTTTTGTAGCCAGGATGAGCTTAGAAGGCCCCCTCTAAGCCAAAAGGATTTAAAGAAATGCTACGCAACCCTGAACAAAGTGGCCCAAGAGACAACTAATTGCTCACTTGGCTACAGATGAACATAAGAAGTGTGAGACCTACACCCCAGTGCAGAATATTCACCCTATCTGTAAAACGAGAGGTTAGACTGGAGGCCCTCTAAGATCCTTTTCAGTTTTAACATGTACCAATTCCAATTGCATTTGGGCATGCTGAATTAATTATGTCAATTGGAAATATATATAGAGCTATCTAGCAAACAAATATTCTTTTCCAGAAAATAAAAAAATTTTTAGAAGGCAGCTTTACAATTCAGAGTCAAGTCCCCCCAAAGCCCAACTAATTAGTTCTCTTCTATTTTTCCTCCCACCTTTTACATATAAACATTGTCTCTGGGGTTTGGTTTCCTCCATTTCTTTGTCTTTTCAGCTCCTTGTGTGACTCTGTGCAAGTCACTTTTTCACTTCGGCCTCAGTTAAAATGAAAGGCATGGGATGGATGATCTTTAAGGTACCATTTAGCTTTTGCATAAGGTCAGTCATCTAGCTCAAGAGTCAATATATAACTCAGATTCAGATAATGGTGCCTTTACTGAATACTTTAGTGAGTGCTGAGCTGAGTGTGCTACACATACAATTGCATTTATAGTAACAATATTTTCTCTTGTAGACTGCATATTACATATGGGGTCAGACAACTAATGTTCTTGACCAGCATGTTTCCTGCTTTATTACTGGGTCTAGTAGTTTGGAGAGGTATCTGTGTGATAGCTGAAGTGGCAGCTGAAGCTATGGACTGAACTGGCTAATGGCAGAGTCAGAATTATTAGACCTCACATTTACAATCCCTAAACCAGAGCTCATTATCAAATCATTCCAACCTAAAGTGATGACCAATGCCTCCTCATTTCTTTATTCACTTATTGTTGTGCACCTGGCACTATTCTGGGTAGTAAAGACACATCAGAAAATGAAGTACAAAGCAAACACAAAACCTCTGCTCTCAATCACTGTTATGACACCAAACTTGTACCAGTCATATGGGCACAAATCTTGGAAACACCCTCAGCTCCTGTATTTTTCTTCACTCTCAGTCAGATTCACTTGTCATCTTCACTGATATCTTCAATTTGCTGTGCTCTCAATTCTTTCTCTAAATTTGCAAAAGGGAGGGGATCCAAGATGGGAGCTTAGGTAAACACATCTAAACTGCTGCCATGCACAACAATTTCAAAACTGCAACTAAAAAACAAAACGTCTATCACCCAGAACCATGGGAAAGCTAGCTGAAAGGAAGCTCTACAACTAAACTGAAGAAAAAGGAGCATTTAGGGCACAAGCGCTGAAAAATTGAGGTACAGGGGCGCACAAGCACGCGCTATACCAGCTGGCGGGAGATCTCAGAGGGTGTAGCCTTCTTCAACCAGAAGAGAGACAAGCTCCCAATCTCTCTGAAATTCAGTTTCTGGGGAGAAGCTAGACTGCCATCAAGTCGGAAGGTGAAGGTGGCTTGCTTGCAGAGCTGTGCACAAGAATAACTGTTTGCTGTGCTGGAGCACGAGACAGAGCACGCAGTCAGAGAGGCAGAGACAGCTGAAGAGTAGCCATCGCTGTTGGCCATACCCCAGCATAGTGAAGCCGAGACTCCGCCCTGAAACTCTGACCTGCACAATATGCAAACATACCCAAGCTCCAAGCAGCAACTTTTGCATATGAATGGCCTTCTCCATTGCAGTTTAATCTAGAAAACTTGCAACCTGGTGCAGACAGCTCCAAGCTTCCAAGCTCCAAGCAGGGAGGAGAGGACTGTAGTTGTTGCTGTAGCACCTGCAGGGTGGCCTCAGACAGTAGCTGAACTGCATCTCATTGGAGATCCAGAAGCCAGTGTACCTAGTGGTCAGTGTGAGACACCAGATTTCAACTCTTCACATTCATAAACGACATATTTGGGAGGCAAGCTCAGTGAGCACCAAAGCCCCACTGAAACAAGTCCTGCACCATAAATGTGTATAGACACAGCTGATCTTCACAGCCAATTGGCTTGGAGGTCAATTCCTCCCAGTGTATCAACAGCAATCAAGGCTTAAGTAACTAAGACTTTGCACTCAGCCCACAAAGGGGTATACCAAAAGCAACCACCTCGGGTGATTGGGGAAGCTGAGCTACTGAACCCTATAGGGCACCTACCACACAAAGCCACTCCATCAGCACAGAGAGGCAACCAAAGTGTGAAGTCACAGAAGCATACTACGAATGGGAGATATGGAGGAAAGTAAACTACTGGACGACACAGAGTTCAGAATCACATTTATAAGGATACTCAAGAATCTTCTAAAAACCACTGAGAAACTTGAAGAGACCTTCAAGGACCTTAATGAGAATACCAGAAAAAAATGGAAAAGGACCAGTTAGAAATTAATCATACGAGTTCAGTGCTCAGGATTGTCTGGCCGCAGATGGGGTTTACGTCTGTCCATCAACCAGAGGAAGGGAGGATCTATCATTCCAGGCTTCTGATAGAGGAGATAAGGCGCTTACAGTCCAAGGAATGGTTTGGCCTTTTGGATTGAGAGAGTGAAACAGAGGGAGTGTCCCACAAAGGGGAGTGCTTCCGGGGAAAAGATGGCTGCTTGTCCCTGTTTCACCACAGTTCCCAGCTTGTGAGCCTGATCTCCTTACGCTGGTAAGACTGGAACAGGAGGCCTGGAAAAACCACCGCAGAGGAGACCATCGAACAGCTGAGACACCCCAATTGGCGCAAACGCGTGGATTCAAGGGAGATCTTCAAACATCCACAGAAAGGAGAGATAAATCAACACAGAAGAGAGACATCCTGAAGAGAGACCATGGGGAGACAAAGAAACAGCCCACAAATGAAAGAAAAGCAGGCATCACCAGAAAAGGAAGTAAACGAGTTAGAGGCAAGCAACCTACCAGAGCAAGAATTCAGAGTAATGATCTTAAGAAGGCTAAAAAGAATGGAAGACAAATTTGACAATATGAGTAAGACCCAAAAGGAAATGAAAAAAACCAAGAGGAAATGAAGATGACTCAAGATGAAATGAAAAATGACATCGCTACTATGAAGAACTCAATAGAAACCATCAAGAGCAGACTAGAAGAAGCAGAGGATCGCATCAGTGAGCTAGAAGACAAGATGGGAAAAAATACCCAATTTGAGCAGCTTCTAGAAAAAAAAATTAAAAAGCAGGAGGAGCCGGGACCAGTTTGGCTCAGTGTATAGAGCGTCGGCCTGCGGACTGAAAGGTCCCGGGTTCGATTCTGGTTGAGGGCATGTACCTTGGTTGCGGGCACATCCCCAGTAGGGGGTGTGCAAGAGGCAGCTGATCGATGATTCTCTCTCATCGATGTTTCTAACTCTCTATCCCTCTCTCTTCCTCTCTGTGAAAAATCAATAAAATATATAAAAAAAAAAAAAAAAAAAAAAAAAAAAAAAAAGCAGGAGGAAAGTCTACGGGAGCTTTGGGACAATGCAAAACAAAACAATATTCGAATAATAGGGGTTCTGGAAGGAAAGAAAACCGAGGTAGACATGGAAAACGTATTTCAAGAAATAATGACAGAAAACTTTCCTGAGATAGAGAAGAAAAAACCCACACAAATCCAAGATGCTCCTAGAGTCCCAAGCAAAATGTATCCCAGGAGACCGACGCCAAGACATTATAATTAAATTGGCAAACACCAATGACAAAGTAAGAATCTTAAAAGCAGCCAGAGAGAGACAGAAAGTTACATATAAAGGAACCCCCATCAGACTAACAACTGATTTCTCAACAGAAACTTATCAGGCCAGAAGGAAATGGGATGAAATATACAAAGTCATGCAAAGAAAGGGTCTGAATCCAAGAATACTGTACCCAGCAAGACTATCAATCAAAATTGAAGGGGAAATCAGGAGCTTCACAGGCAAAAAAAGACTAAAGGAATTTATCTCCACCAAACCAGCAATGCAAGAAATG